ATCTACTTAAGTGGAAAGAAGAGATGGGTAGGAAATTCTCGGCTGAGGGATCATATTCTATATTTTGCTCACCGCTCTTCAACGACGAACAAATACCAGAAATTGGGCTACAAACTGTTCACCCGATGGTATAGGGTCCCGGTCATCTTACATCAGATCTATCCAGAGGCAACGAAAGTCTGCTGGTGTTGTAAGAAAGGGGATGGTTTGTTCCTTCATATTTTTGATCCTGTAGAAAATTAGCCAGATGTTGGTCACAAGTTGGAGAGACTATCAAACGCTTGACAGACTTTGACCTAGAGGAAGACCCAGCCAAGTATCTACTACTGCACTCAGACCTCTCAAGGAAGCGATACAAGAACTCCCTATTAATACACCTGCTTAATGCTGCTTGGGCTTGCATACCATCTGTCTGGAAACAGGAGACTCCCCCATCTCTCTCCATGTGTCTGAATAGGATTGATGAAATCCACTCAATGGAAAGTATCATGGCTGCAGTTTGCGGCCAGGAAGACAAGTTCTGTCGTAGGTGGGTCCATTGGTCGCTTTTTACTTGTTCTAGTGATTATGAGTCCCTGACACATTTGGTGGCTTGAAGTCCCTTCTCCTACTCTTGTACCCCTGGCTTTAGTTCTTTACTTTCTCTCTTCGTCCTGTTTTTTTCTGTTCCTGTTTTTTTGTACATGCAGAAGGGATGTCTGTCTCATTTTTACAGTTCTGACAGTTTACCATATAGCTGAGGTTCTTGACTTAATGTTTGATACAATTTAGTATTGTTGTGACAATTGCTTTATTATGCGACTTGAATGTACTTAAGTCGATTCATGTCTAGGTGACATTCCCCTGCTTATGTATGTAACAAAAACTCTTATTATAAACAAAGAATGTAAAAAAAGCAGACTTCATGAGGGTGGCCTGAGGGCCTGACATTCTCTAGTGGACCCTGTGCACATTGCCTGGCACCATAGAGCTCCATTGGCATTTGCCATTGAACACCAGAATTGGCAGGTCTGCCACTGGCGCCCTGTTATTTTAACAGATAAGAGCAGGTTCACCCTGAGCACATGTGACAGACATGAAAGGGTCTGGAGAAGCCTTGGAAAACATTTTGCTGCCTGTAATATTGTACAGCATGACCATTTTGGTGGTGGGTTAGTGCTGGTCTGGGGAGGCATATCCATGGAGGGGCACACAGACCTCTACAGGCTAGACAATGGCACTCTGACTGCCATTAGGTATCGGGATGAAATCTTTGGACCCATTGTCAGACCTTACGCTGGTGCAGTGGGTCCTGGGTTCCTCCTAGTGCATGACAATGCCCGGCCTCATGCGGCAAAAGTATGCAGGCAGTTCCTGGAGGATGAAGGAATTGGTACCATTGAATGACCCCCACGCTCACCTGACCTAAATCCAATAGAATACCTCTGGGATATCATGTTTCAGTCCATCCGACAGCCGCAAGGTTGCACCTCAGTCTGTCCAGGAGCTCAGTGATGCCCTGGTCTAGATCTGGGAGGAAATACCCCAGGACACCATACGTCTTCTCATTAGGAGCATGCCCCAATGTTGTCAGGCATTCACACAAGCACGCAGAGGCCATATAAACTACTGAGTACCATTTTGAGTTGCTACAATGAAATTTCAGCAAAATGGACTAGCCTGCTGCATCATTTTTTCACTTTGATTTTCGGGGTGTCTTTGAATTCAGTCCTCTGTAGGTTGATCATTGTCATTTCCATCAAACAATGGGGCATCCTTATGTTCCTAACACATTACCCAGTCCATATCAGTATAGATATCGAGCATGATATTTTTCCCCGTTGAGATCTGATGTGTTTCCAAAGTGTTCCTTCAATTTTTTTGAGCAGTGTAGTAAATCTAAAAAAAATAAAAGTTTTAAAGTTAAAGTATTAATGATTAGCATTACTTTTATAATTATTATAAAATGCAAGTGTTATTGTTTCTATCAAGTCAAATGATAAAGTCAGATAAAGTCAAGTCTTTCTGAAGATTTTTTTCTGTTAGTCATAGATAATATATCTTCTTCATAAGATTGAATGTTTATATCGAATTATTAATTACTGTACCAATTATATTAATTCTATTAAGTATATCTTAATATTGGCTAATATCAATGTATAAATACCAGGCTATGATTTTTATATATTCCTTTATCCTAGGCCTAAACTTGTTTGTTGTTCTTACGAAGCTGTACCAATAATTTAGCTACTAAACACTTTCTTTCTAAATCTCTGTGGGGTGACACTATATAATGCCGCCTGCAGTCTCTCCCTAAGGCTTCGTATAGAGCAGTGTGTCCTTGAAATGCATTTTTTAGGAGACTGGAACCAGAAGCAGATGTCCTGCTGGCTGACACAGCCCCCTATGCAGCAATGAGGATGCTGCCTGCTTCCAACTGTAAGCAGGACCTTGTATATTTAGCTTTGCCACTGCATCCCTTACTGCTGGCCATGGAACAGGGAGATTGGCTTCATATCACATCTGGATCACTTTAAGTGCTACTTACATAACTCTAATGTAAGTACAGTCTGTTTTTTTAATGAAGTTGTCATGATTTTTTATCACATTGGTGAGTTACACTATTTTTTTATTCCTCCTTCCTCAGAGTCCATGTTAGTGTCGATCTGTCCACTATGTTGGTCAGGGCATGTTAAGGGTATATGGCCTGGTTTAGTTCAAAAAGGGGAAAAAGTGGAGTGTGCGACCAGCCAGGCTGCATGCTTGGATAAAGGTATGGTGTGGATTTTTGGAGGGACCTCAAACTTTTTTCCTTCATTTTTGTGTGAGGTCCTCCTTAAAATCTATACCAGATCACAAGGGCCTGGTTTGATTTATGTTGCGGTCCCTAAGTAACATCTACCAGACCCTTATTTAGGATAAGAGTCAAGTATAGATAGAAGAAATTCCAAGCTCTTCAGTTACAAAGAGAATGAAGTGTCATTTTGCTGGAAATGTAAACATACATTTTTTTCTTTGTAAATGTCAATAGGTTGTATACATTTTACAGATGCAGTACTTCATAGGCAGGGTCAGGGCATCTCCCAGGCATGTTATTCAATGTGATCTTGCATGTTTCACTTTAAAAGGCTCCATGCACACTAGCTTAAAAACAACCCTTGTAGCAGCAGATTTGGAGCTTTTTTTTGCTTCTAATAGTAAATAGTGTTATCCTATTGGGTTGATTTACAAAACTGGAGAGTGCAAAGTTTGGTGCAGCTCTGCTGCCTCTGCATAGAAACCAATCAGCTTCCAGGGTTTTTTGTCAAAGCATAATTGAACAAGCTGACATTAGAAGCGGCCGGAGACTTTTGTGCGGATCTGCGGGACGGAAGCCAAGTGTTAATGAGGAGGTGGAGACTAAGCTCCTTGCACACATCGAAAGGGCTGCAAGGGCTGGGACAGTGATAGTAATGGGGGATTTTAACTACCCAGAAATTGACTGGAGTAATGGTACTGCAGGAACAGTTAAAGGGCAAAAATGTTTAAACCTACTGCAGGACAATTTTATGGTACAGTTCATAGATGCCCCTACTGGGAATGATGCTCTGCTGGACCTGGTAATCTCAAACCATGCAGAGCTTATTACAAATGTCCATATAAAAGAACATCTGGGTAGCAGTGACCATAACATGATTTCATTCATTGTTAGCTGTAAACAGCGAGAACATACAGGAAAAATAAAAACGCTCAATTTTAAGAGAGCTAAATTTCCAAGGCTGAGAGCTGCTCTCCAAGACTTAGACTGGGAGGGAATATTGGCATCAATATACACAACACAGAAATGGGCGTTCTTCAAAAAAAACTGTATGTGAACACACTTCAAAAAAAATATATATATATATATATATATATATATATATATATATGGGCAACCAGTTTAAAAGGCCAAAATCAAACATATGTGGCTTAAGGCCAAAGTTAAAAAAGCTATAGGTAATAAGAAAAGAGCTTTTATTAAATATAAAAATGAAGGAACGCTATCATCATTTAAACATTACAAAGAATATAACAGAATATGCAAAAAGGAAATAAAGGCTGCAAAAATTGAAAACGAACTACAGATTGCAAAAGATAGCAGGACCAACCCAAACAAATTCTTCAAATACATTAATAGTAAAAAGGTCCAGTCCGAGCATGTAGGCCCTTAACAAAATTATCTAGAGTGTGTGGCTGGGGACAAAGAGAAGGCAAATTTATTAAATACCTTCTTCAGCTCTGTGTATACAAAGGAGCATGGGGGAGCTCTTGTCCATAATGGGCATGGTATCGATACAGCTCCAGATGATCCACATTGGCTCACAATTGATATGATCCAAAAATATTTAGATAGAATAAAGGTGAATAAAGCACCTAGACCGGATGGCATACACCCATGGGTCCTTAACCACTTGCCTACCAGGCACTTATACCCCCTTCCTTACCAGGCCAATTTTCAGCTTTCAGCGCTGCCGCACTTTGATTGACAATTGCGCGGTCATGCAACATTGTACCCATATGAAATTTTGATCATTTTTTTCTCACAAATAGAGCTTTCTTTTGGTGGTATTTAATCGCCACTGGACGCTTTACTTTTTGCGCTATAAATAAAAAAGTGCAAAAAATTTGAAAAAAAAAGTTTCTTTGTTTCTATTATAAAATTTTTCAAACAGGCATTTTTTCTCCTTCACTGATGTGCGTTGATGAGGCAGCACTGATGGGCACTGATAGGCGGCACTGATGGGCACTGATAGGCAGCACTAAAGGGCACTGATAGGCAGTACTAATGAGGTGGCACGGATAGGTGGCACTGATAGACAGTACTAATGAGGTGTCACGGATAGGCGGCACTAATATGCAGCACTGATAGGCGGCACTGATAGGTGACACTGATGATGGGTACTGATAGACGGCACTGACTGGCATCACTGCTGGGCACTGACTGGCGGCACTGACTGGCACAACCCCTGGGCACTGACTGGTGGCACTGACTGGCAGCACTGCTGGGCTGCACTGGTGGGTGGCACTGGTGGGTGGCACTGGTGGGCAGCACTGGTGGGTGGGCACAGGTGGGTGGCACAGGTGGGTGGCACTGGTGGGCACAGGTGGGTGGGCACAGGTGGGTGGCACTGCTGGGCACATGTAGGTGGCACTTCTGGGCACAGGTAGGTGGCACTGCAGAGTGGCACAGGTGGGTGCACTGCTGGGCACAGGTGGGTGCACTGCTGGGCACAGGTGGGTGATCTGCTGGGCACGGGTGGGCGGAGCTAGTGGGCGCACTGCTGGGCACAGGTGGGCGGAACTTGCGGGTGGCACTGCTGGGCACCGATCATCAGGGCACTGATCATCAGTGCCCTGATTGTCGGTGCCGATCCCCGCTCTGACAACTGCCGGTTCTCGGCAGTACTTTCCTCACGATCTGACAGCGTGAGGAAAGTGCAGCCGAGAACCGGCACTTGCATTTCCCTCTGATCAGCGTGTCATTGGACACCGCTGATCAGGTGGTAAAAGGCCGCTGTGATTGGCCTTTTACCACATCACGCGATCAGCTGTGTCCGTAGGACACAGCAATCATGGAGATCGCCGGGTGCGCGCCCCCTGGGGCGCGCAGGAGAGCGCGTTCTGGGGGGACGTCATATGACATCCACCCAGAACTGGCCGGCCGCAGTGAAGCCGTCATTCGGCTATCTGCAGTCGGCAGGTAGTTAAAGAACTGAGCTCTGTCATTTCATAGCCTTTGTTTCTAATTTTTAGGGACTCTGTAATGACTGGCATAGTACCACTGGATTGGCGGAAGGCCAATGTGGTGCCAATATTTAAAAAGGGGTCAAAATCTTTATAGACCTGTTAGTTTAACTTCTATAGTTGGAAGGATACTGGAGTGTTTAATAAAAGACCACATACATGAGTTCTTGTTGGAAAAAAAATATTTTAAGCAACAAACAGCATGGATTCATGAAAGACAGAAGTTGTCAAACAAATCTGATTTCTTTTTATGAGGAGGTGAGCAAAACCTTGGACAGAGGGGTGGCTGTGGACGTGGTATACTTGGATTTTGCAAAAGCATTTGACACAGTTCCTCACACACAGCTAATGTGTAAGGTAAAGTCTACAGGCTTGGAAAAATCCACATGTAAATGGATAGAAAACTTGCTAAAAGATTGTATTCAAAGAGTAGTGGCTAATGATTCATACTCTGAATGGTCTAGGGTTGTCAGTGGTGTACCCCAAGGTTCAGTGTTGGGACCCTTACTTTTTAATATATTTATAAACAATATAGTGTCTGGGATTAAAAATACCATTTCAGTCTTTGCAGATGACACAAAGCTCTGCAGTGGAATAACGTCCTTACAGGATGTCTGAATGTAAGCCTTTTGCTGTTAATTGGTATCATTGGGGTGCTGCTTCCATCAATCTCTTGGGTGCATAGTCATGTATTTCTTCCTGTATGAGGTACTCAAATGGATGGTACTTTTACCACATTATGATAATCCCACAATAGATTTTGAATGGCCACTACAAGGGGCTCCACTACCAGCGCAAATAGTGGTGACAGTGAGCATCCCTGGCATGTCTCCCAATTAATACAAGGCTCAGCATAAATGAGTAGACCCCTTTTGAAAAGTAAGATTTTAATCAATATCTCAATGAACACAAGAACAATTTCCAAAATTTTGACAAAACTGAGTTTTATAGAAAATGTGTTTAGATCATTACATGAAAGTAAGGTTAATAATATAAATTAGATTACAAAATCTTCAAATGAGTTGATGCAAAAATAAATACACCTCACAACAAAAACTACTACATCTAGTATTTTGTATGACCTCCATGATTTGTAAGGACAGCAACAAGTCTTCTAGGCATGGAGTGAGCAAGTTGGCAACAGAACCTGTGTAATTAATATATGTTCAGTTTTAAAAGGATGAGGTGGCAACCCTTGGGCTAACATACCTAACAATATGATAATGAACCAAAGCACACAGCAAAAATTACCACACAGTGGTTGAAGGATATACTGTAAAGGCTAATGTCCTTGCATGGCCTAGTCAGAACTCAGACATAAACCCCATCTGTGGAATGACTTGAAGACTACAGTCCACAAATGGTCACCATCAAATTTAACTGAACTTGAGCAGTTCTGCAAAAAAGAGTGGGCAAATATCTAGATGTACAAAGTTAGCAGAGACATATCTCAACAGACTAAAGGCTGTAATTAAAGCAAAATAAAAGTAAGAATCAATATCTCAATGAACACAAGAGCAGTTTCCAAAATTGTGACCAAACTGAGTTCTATAGAACATTTGTTTATCTCATTATATGAAAGTAAGGTTAATAATATAACTTAGATTACAAAATGTTCAGTTTTACCTAAATTAGTTGATGCAAAAATAAATACACCCCACAACAAAAACTACTACAGCTAGTATTTTGCATGACCTCCATGATTTTCATGGACAGCACCAAGTCTTCTAGGCATTGGCGACATATTGCAACATTTATCTTTTTCCATTCTTCAAGCATGACCTCTTTTAGAGCCTGGATGCTGGATGAAAAGTGATGTTTAGCTTGTCTGTTCAGAATTTTCCATAGGTGTTCAATTGGATTCAGATCAGCAGACATACTTGGTCACTGAATCACTTTCACCTTGTTCTTCAGAAATGTAACAATGGCCTTAGATCTGTGTTTTGGATCATTGTCATGTTGGAAAGTGCACGACGACCAACGGCACGGGTTGATGGTAGCATCTTCTCTTCCAATACAGAGCAGTATCTTCTCTTTCAATACAGAGAAGTACATCTGTGAATTCATGATACCATCAATGAAATGCAGCTCCCCGACACCAGCAGTAATCATGCAGCCCCACAGAAGGGCACTGCCACCACCTTGTTTCACTGTAGGCACCATGCATTTTTCTTTGTACTCTTCACCTTTGCAACGCCATGCAGTTTTGAAGCCATCAGTTCCAAAAACATTTGTCTTGGTCTTATCATTCCAGGAGTACAGTGTCCCAGTAGACGTCTTCGTTTTTCGACATGGGCCCTGGCAAATTCTACGTGGGCTTTTTTGTACATGGACTTTAGGAGAGGCTTCCTTTGTTCCTCTGCAGTGTACACTGTATTTTGTCATGGGAAACAATTACCCCAGTTTGGATTTCTACTTCTTTAGATATCTGATACTCGCATGGCGAATTTCTTCAACCCTTCTCATCAGAAGACGCTGCTGTCAAGATGGTAACTTCCGTGGAAGGCCTGGACATCTCTGTGAGATGCTTGCAGTTCCATCATTGTTAAATTTCTGTATCACTTTTGCTACAGTATTCTGACTGATAAGTAAAGCTTTCTTCTGATCTTCTTGTAGCCTCCACCTTTCTTGTGTAAAAAAATTTTTTTCTTTCTCAGGCCTTGTGACTTTTCTCTTCCATGTGGTGTCCCATGAATGGGAAGGGGTTTTCTTCGTTAAGTAACTCCCTTTTATAATCACCCGTCTGCTGGACACCTATTTAATTAATAGTTAGACTCACCTGTAGTTGAATTCTTGTTAATTGGGATTTTGTTGTCTAAAATTTAGCTTTGCTCCTATGACTTTCATTGGGGTGTATTGATTTTTGCAGCATGGTCTCGAATTAATTAGGAAAAATACTTTTTTGTGTATGAAAATTAACAAATCTTGTTTGCAATCAATGGCTCGCATTTGTGGGACTATTTTGTAGTATAGTGTCCCATAGAAAATGTTGATTCTGAAAGGAAAGGAAATGTTTTCTGACAAATCTGTTGGTGTGTACTCATTTATGCTGAGCACTGTATATATAACAAAACATGTTGCACTGTTCATTCACGTCATAAATCTTAAATCATAAATCTTATAAAATCCCATAACGGTAAAACCTGCATAATAAATAGCCACATAATTTGCTCAGTGACAAACAGTTCCCTCATGAAACATTAAATAATGTGCAAATCAATAAAGTGATTAAAAAGTTAATTAATAAAGTCCAAAGCGTGAAAAAAAAACAAAAAACAGCAGAATGTTATCTTCACTGTAAATCATTCCAGTGACCCATCACCTTCATAAAAAACTGCTTTCCAGAAGCTTAGACTTCAGAGCATAAAAGGTCTAACAACACTTTAGAAAATCCACACCGATCCCTGACGGATGGATCTCCCCCATCTTAGGATTCCCAGTAAAAGTATCCAGCATAAATTAGCATTCAACATGAAACTCCTTAGTGTAGTAAATTAATTCACCATTTATTGAAAGAAAGAGGAGTATTCACAAAACACAGGTATAAAAACAGACCATCGCAATTGCTCTGCCCAACTGAGCGGGCATTATGATGTCACTGCTAAGCTCTACCCAATGCGTTTCATCACATGAAGCTTCGTCCAGGGGCAAAGGAGTAGTGGTAGACTAAATCTCTAGTGTTTAAATAAGTTGAAGACTCCCTTAATATAGTCTGCAGGGATTAGTGGTAGTATTATAAAGTTTCATATGTGAAACTGGGGAGGAGTAGAGTATTTGGATCGAAGCCAAAAGTATGGATAACCTCTCATAGATAAGGCCATTCAACACTATCAAATGCCTTGGTGGTGTCTAAAGACAATTTAGCCCTTTGGTCTCTTTGGGATTTGATCATCAAAAACAGGCATCCAATATCAATAGCTGTAGATCAAATGGGAATGAAGCCTGTTTGATCTGTGTGAACCAATTTATAACTTCATAATATAACTTTAGCCAAACGGATTGCAAGAGTCTTTGTTAAACTTTACATATCGTACAGTAAGTGAGAAGGGAATTGAGACAGTAGGACTCTGGGAGAAGCTTTTCTTTTTTTGGTTTGGGGATCACTACAATCATGACTTCTTTCACAGTAGATGGGAATGTGTCTGCTAATCGAAGCATTGGGAGAAGAAAATTACTTTATTTTTTTAAATATATTTCAAATGGAAGGCTATCTAGCCCAGGTGATTTGTTATTGGGGTTTCCGCTATGACTAAAGTAAGTACATGTAATATGAGTGAGCATTCAATGCAGCACAATCCTCATGCATAGGACACAGAAAGTCTAAGGGTGCCAAAAATGCTAGCAAATTTCTACCGAACACATACATGATGTCTATATTTTTAATAATTTGGGAATAACTAATGATATGGGTATAGATGGAAAGGGGTTCAGGGAATATGGGGCTGTGGTTTTGAAGCACTATGTTTTCACATGTTATTAGTTCTATAGTCACAACATGCACTTTCATTTTCTCATATCAGCATTGTAATAGCATTACAAACACTAGGTATATTTGACTATTCATATACTTACTTGGTAAATCTAATTTCACATTGTGGGTTCTCCCTCGCTGCTTTAGTTTCAGAGTTTAAGGACTACATGTCCCATGGTATGTTCCTGCCTACATGTAATGAAGCTTGTAGTGACTCATGCAACTCCTCCTTTCAGCACCTCTGTAGTTCAGTAGGCAGGCTCTGTGGAATGTGTGACACAAGCAGCACCTGGTAAAATATGAAAGTGCA